TCTTCCTCTGGTACATCTGAGTCAGGATGTGAGTGTTCTCAGCATGTGTACTGCTGTCGAGCTGCTGCAGGGAGGGTTACAACTGAAACTGTTGGAATCAGCCAGCATGCTTACTGACGTGCAGCAAGGCTCCAAGGATGCTGTGCTCTCAGTGTAATTATAAAAAACTCATCTTGTGGAAAGGCAGGCAATTAGGGAGCTCAAGTGAAGGGGATGTCCCAGCCAGGAAAAGCACTGCCAGGCCAAGTACACGCGCAGGAATACACACACGGCCAAGTCCACAGCCTCATCCAGTGCACCTGTGGCCGGGCTGCCTCGGGGTCCGCCCAGCGGGGAGCAAGGACTGGGTCACAGCCTCCATTTCTGGCCACGTCGACCTGACGAGCTGACCGCAAACTCACAGCAAAGTGTCCATTGGCCTTGGACGCGCACAACTCCCTGTCCCATCGGCCCACAGAGAAGACGGAGCACATCTGTCCACGTGACTATGGAAGAGCCGCGGGCTTCACCACCAGCTCCACACGGTCCTGGCCACTGTCCTCGTGACATCTGTCCATGTGACAATGGAAGAGCCGTGGGCTTCACCACCAGCTCCACACGGTCCTGGCCACTGCACGCCCCCACGCACGCACAGTGTCACTGAGAGGGCTGCTGACTGTCTGAGGACATGCTCGGTCCCAGGAGCGCCGGTGATTCTTGTCGGCGGCAGCCCAGACAGATGGGGAGAGAGAGCCCCCTGAGGCTTGCTCTGTGTCCTCTCCCACAGGTCCCCGCAGGGCCCAGGTGGCCACAGCATCTGCCCACGACATGCCTGCCATCGCCTTCCTTCCCGTCCCTGCACAGCTGCCCGTCCGTCCCCCCCAGGGCTTCCCGAGATGAGCTCCCAAGTGAACTACTTGTGCTCAAATCCTCTTGTCAGGGTTCGCTTTTGGGCAAACCCGACCTAAGGCCATGACTGGCAGCTGAACACCTAGTGCATGCCCTGGGGGAGGACGCAGACACAGCTCTCTGACGCCAGAGGTGCCCTGGGTGTTGGCTAGGGGCTGCCAGAGCAGGGGTCTGAGCAGGGGTTCTCAAGCAGGGGGCCACTTTTTTCTCCCCACCTGCCAGGGGACAGCTGCCAACATCTGGAGCCATTTCCTGTTATCACCGCTGGGGGCGAGTGTGGTTGGCAGCTGGGTAAGGCCAGGCATGCTTGTCCCACAGGGCACAAGACAGCCCCTCCCCACATAGGGTAGCACCAGATTCGGAAGACCTGGCTCTGGAACATTCCTCGTCTCTTCAAAGGGGGTACATCATTTCCTTCAGAAGGCTTTTAAGATCTGTCGAGGTAAAGAGAGCACGGATTCAACCATCGCTGCCGTCTGTAGTGCCACCCGGGGCAAGGAGTGAGCGAGTGGGCGACCCGACAGCCATGGAGAGCCTGGCCCCGGCCCCTCAGGACCCAGAGGCTGGCTGTGGAGACAGTGGGAACAGTCAGCTGCGTTGCGACGGGAGCCGGGGCCAGCGGGCACGCACGGGGTGTGTGTGCTTTGGCAGGGCGCAGAGACTGGGAGGCTCGCTGCCTGGAAGCCGGGAAGGGCTCTCTGAGGCGCTAGGCGGGGACAGCCGGGGGCTGAGCAGACAGGGGCCTCTCAGCAGAGAAAAGAGCCTTGACCAGGGCCAGGAGCCCTGAGAGGCTGGGCCTGCCTGCAGCCTGCGGCCTGGCAACTGTGGCCAGAGCACAGGAAGCACGGGAGACAGAGGACGCCCAGGAGGCTGGCCGGGGGGCAGGAGCTAGGTGGCCAGGGGCCCGGGTGCAGGGCTGGGACAGGGCAGGCAGGCCAGGCCTCTGGGGCACCGGCCCCACGGACTTGCACAACCCACCCAGTGCGCGTCCCCTTCCGTCTGGTGCCCAGGCCCCTGCCCTGCCTCGGCCCCGTCCAGACCTGCCTCCTCGCCACACTAAGGACCTAGCGAGTCCAGTGTGCAGGCCAGGGGCAGCCAGCAGGAGACCTGCGCTTCCTGCACGTTCAGGAGGATACCCTGACTCAAGTGCAGGTCTGCGGTGCCGACCTCATGCCACACACCCTAGTGCAGGTGGACAGCAGAGCCCAGCTTTCCCTGACTCGCTCCCTCCTCTAACTGCAATGGAATGCTGGGCCAGACAGACACGTTCTCAGCCAACGCACGGCAGAGTCCTGAGGACAGCCGGGAACGGGGTCGGGGCTGGGCAGGAGCCGCCAGAGCCCGGCGGGCAGGGAAATGGCTCATCCACTCAGACTGGAAGGATGGCTGGTGCTTTGGGTAAGGGCAGAACTCATGTTTACCTCATTAATTCAGACTCTATCAAAGTTGGATGTTTGGATTATTGCATTAAAAAATATGACGCAGTTGTCCAGCCTTACACTTAGCTGAAATTTGGGCATCTGGAGCAGAAACAGAGGGACAGGGAAGGATGCTTAAAGGAGCATCCTTAGTTTCCTGGGAAACTAAGCTGATTTCAAGTGCCGGCGAGGCACCCCAGAAGTGTGCATTTGCCCAAAGACAAGTGAGATGCCGGTGGAAAACTATTCCTTCTCTTGCCCAAGGAGGGTCATGTTTAAGGAACTCTTCCTCAAGGAGGTTTTTTTTTTTTTTTTGGTGGGACCCTTGCCGGTGTCGGGGGAACCAACCGGTGCTGCAGAGGCTGCGGGCAACCTCACAGCCCAGCGCTCAACTGCTGGGCCACCAGGGGAGGTCCTCAAGGAGCTTAATTCTATTTCAATGCTATATCTACGCTATATAATGCTATTTTAATGCTACATCTTCTGTCATTTATAATTCCCATAAGTGCTATTGGTTAAAAACACCAAATTTATTTTAGAGTAACCCATAAACCATGAGATTCACCAGTTAGTCTTGGATTCTCTCATCTGTAAGACTTTACTATGAATATTGTGTTATCACTATGTCTGCATCAAAACCCCAAGAGATTCATTTAACAACCTGTCCCAGAAAGGCTGAGAGATTTTTTTTTTAAAACATTTTCTCTCAGTTTTGGTTTTTTTTTTTTTTAGATTTATTTATTTATTTATACAAGCCCTGGGCACAGTCAGAAGCGCGAGAGGGCGAGAGAATTCACCAGAGCCAGAGCCGGGAGCAGAACAGACAGAAAGACCGAAGTACACTGCTGAGGGGAGCAGCGGGCGGCAGGAGAGGTCTGCGCGCCATGTGGGACCCTCCTCCGGTGGCCGGGGAGCAGCCGGGGATCGAACCGGCACTGCAGAGGCTGCGGGCAGCTTCGCAACCCAGCGCTCAACCGCTGCGCCACTGGGGAGGCCCTCATTTTAGATAATTCTTTTTTTTGTTTATTTATTTATACAAGCACTGGGTACAGTCAGAAGCGCGGGAGGGTGAGAGAATTCACCAGAGCCAGAGCGGGGAGCAGAGCAGGCAGAAGGACCGAAGCACACTGCTGAGGGGAGCAGCGGGCGGCAGGAGAGGTCTGCGCGCCATGCGGGACCCTCCTCCAGTGGCCGGGGAGCAGCCGGGGATCGAACCGGCGCTGCAGAGGCTGCGGGCAGCTTCGCAACCCAGCGGTCAACCGCTGCGCCACCGGGGAGGCCCCGACTGAGAGATATTAAGGCAGTGAATTAGTGGACAACAGTGGCCCATGAACACGTAAGATAGAGTCCCTTCCCTGGAGATGCATCATTAGGACAGTAGTATGTATGATCTCCAGGTAGCCATCCTGTCAAATTGACTGCCATCATCTGGAATAATAGTTAGTTCTAAATCCTCTGTGGGGTCAGATGCAAATTACCTTTTAAAATAAATAGTTTAGGGCCTCCCTGGTGATGCAAGGGGTTAAGCACCACACTGTGAAGCAATCCGCAGTCCCTGCAGGAGTTGGATCCCCCTGCCAGCCAAGGAGCTGCCCACATGGCGCGGCAGACCTCTCCTGTCTCGCCCGCTGCTCCCCTCAGCAGTGTATTTCAGTCAGTCTGCCTGTTCTGTTCCCCACTTTGTCTCTGGTGAATCCTCTCACTCCCCACATCTCTGGGCTGTACCCCAGCTCTTGTGTGCATAAATAAATAAATTTTAAAAAAGACAGTTTAATCCTGTATGCAAGTCATAGATCATATAGCTTAGCTACCATGTACTCTTTACGTAACTACAAATGCCCTGAGTATACCAAATAGGGAAACAAATGGCTAATAATTACATATAAGAATGCCATGTCATTATGTGCACGTCTATATGGAACTATTTTGCAGGAGATCGGCGGAGGGTGCAGTGCAGAATTCTGGTGTAAGTACGAGCCTCCAGGGAGCAGGCGCTGCACCGGTAACCCCCTTGTGTGTATTAAGTTGGATACGGCCGTCAGGGACATTCCCGGCACTGATGACAGGGACATCCCAAAAAAGTGACCCGTTCTTGGTAAAGCGTATGACAAGAAAAAAATCACTATTCCTTTTCATGCCACTCCGTTCGTGTCAAAACTGCCGGGACTTTCAAGCGTACAGAAAAGTGTGTGTTTTTTCGTTGGTCCCTGGGCTTCGCGCTGAGGCTTTTGAATGGCAGTTGAAGGAAGGGGTGGGACTTGGCCCGATGCCCCCCACCCGGGGGTGGGGGCTGCGGCCTCAGGTCCAGGGGCAGCCGCCTGAAGTGAGGCCTGCGGAGCGTCGGCTGGCGAGTGCGCACGCGCACACCACGATGTAAAGCCAGCCCATTCCGCTCGCGCTCCCTCGCGTCTCCTTCCGGCCCAGCAGAGGAGCACCACGAGGCCCAGCGCCGCGGACGTTCCATACCTGCAGGTATTTACCGAACAACAACATGTTGTGCGGCGCAGGCAGGAGGGCGGGTTGGCGCGGTGCACAGTGAAGTGAGGTTGTTGGTCCACGGTGGCCTGGCGGCGTTTGCGGGACTGTGCATTTGCAGGAGAGACTCCATCTTCGCCCTGCTTCACCCATGCACTTATACTTTCACTTTTTAAAAAATGTTTATTTCCGGCTTCCTTCTTCCTTTAGCGTCCTATTTTATGTCACAATGCAACAAGCTTTAGAACGAGCTTTGGATCGCGCTGACTCAATCATTGAAAGTGTCCGGCAGAGGCCGCCTAAAAGGACATGCTCCGCTAGCGGGGAGAAGTCTCTCCACCACAAGCTGTACGACATCTACGCTGAGGAGTGTGAGAAGGAGCCGGAGGGCGCCGAGGAGTTGAGAAGCAGTGTGAACTTGCTGGAGAAGCTGGTGGCGCGCGAGGCCCTGCCGCGTGTGGTGGTGAACCTGTACCCGGGAGAGCAGGGCTATTCTCTGATGCTCAAGGGCACGGACGAGGCCTGCTCCGAGACCGTCCGCATGCGCTACGAGGAAGGGGAGTTGCTGCAGTACCTGGATGCAGAGCAGTTACCCCCTGTTCTGCTGGATCTCCTGGAAAAATCGGAGATGAATCTTTTCCACCGCGGGTGCGTCCTCGCAGAAGTTCGGGACTACAGGCAGCGCGGCCCCGGGGCCCCCCCGGCTACCAGAGCAGGCACGTGCTCCTGCGGCCGACCATGCAGACCCTGGCCGCGGACGTGCAGGCCATCGCCGGCGCCCACCAGGACTGGACGCAGGACGACAGACTGCTGCTGGAGAGCCAGCTCATCTTGGCCACCGCCGAGCCCCTGTGTCTCGATCCTTCCGTCACAGTCGCCTGCACGGAAAACAGGCTGCTCTACGACAAGCAGAAGATGAACACTCACCCGATGAAACGGAGCCTCAGGAGGTTTTCCATGGCTTCTCTGGCCAGGGAGCGGGCGCGCCCTCCCCGCCCGCCGCCGCCCCAGCTCAGCGCCCTGGCGTCCTGGAAAAAGTCCAAAGCAAGCCAAGCGGCTCCGCAGTACGACCTCAAAATCTGTAAGGTGGGCCACTGTGTAGATCTGTGGAAACGGAGGCCCTGCGAGCTGGCCGTCCCCTCTGCAGTGGACGTGGAGAAGTACGCCAAGGGCAGGCCGTCTGGGCCGCGAGCCGGCTCCCGGCCCAGCGCGCGGCCCGTCGCGGAGGTCAAAGAGGACTCGGCGCCGGGAGCTGAAGCTGGCAGCGCCGCCCAGACGGCAAGGCCAACCTTCCCGCGGCCGGGTAAGGATCCACTATCCTCTGCAGAAAGGCCTCATGCAGAAACCAGACGTGAGCGACAAATGTCTCTCCCTGGTGACCCCTCCGCAGATGACCACTCCAGTCTGGACACGGATGCCGGGAGGGTCGTCAGCGGGTCCGGGGAGCTGGTCCCGAAGAAGGCCCCCTGCCCGGTCAAGATGTCATCGAGCCCCCGTGGCTCAACCAGTCTCAGCCACTTCTCCCCAGGCAAAGCAGCACATCAGCCCGACACCACCCTGGTTCAGTCTTCAGTCTTGCAGAAGGGAGTCACACATCTGCCTTCCCCCATGCAGCTCCTCCCAAGCTCAGGGAAGAGTTCCTCGGGGAACATCTTTATTCCAGAACACGCAAGCAGCATTCTCCAATCTCTGCCCTCTGCTCCTGCTTCCAAGCCACCGAGTGTTCCCCAGAAATCCTCTATGGAAGTGAGTGAGGTTCACAAGATTCCTCCAGCCACTTCATTCACTGTCAACTCCTCTGAGGGAATGACGGTCCTGTCCACTTTCAGGTCCTCACAGAAACTGGTCTGGTCACCTCTCAGTGCATCCAGGAGAATCCAGACCCTGTCCACTGCCATCTCCTCACAGAGAACGCCAGCCACCCCAGTCATGGCCACCTCCACTGGCCAGGACATCATCAATGTGGTGGGTCCTGTTCTTGGAGCCCAGACTTTGGCCAGTGGGTCCCACCCCATACAGGGCTCAACCCCTGGGGCCATAGCTCCTGCCAGAGTCAAGCCCTCAGGAGTCCAGCCACCAAATGTGCAGCCTGGTGAGTTGCAGCAACCTGCTCAAGTGGGACCACAACTTTTTTTGAAAACAGCGTCTGGCCTCAGACCTGTCACTCTAATTCAGGTTCCACCTGGTTCAGTTCTTTTGAAGACACAGCAGCAGAAACTCTACCAGGTGACTACACAGCAACAGCTTCTGCCCATCTCCACTGCTCATCCCCAGCAGCCAGTGCCACAGGGTTCAAGTGCACAAGATTCATCCAGTCAGACAACAGCCTTGTTTACTCAGCAACATGTGGTCTTTAACCTCACTAGAGGCGGAAGTTTGCAGTCCCAGCCAAGTGTCTTGTCTCAACTTGGCCCTCACCAGGGAAGACCTAGGCAAAGCCTTCCTCAGCAGAGATTCCAGCAACCCTCTGCCTTGCAGCAGCCTCAGCAGATACAGCAGTTGAGGATCTTGCAGCAACCAGGGGCTGTGGTGACAACAGCAACCTCAAGAACTCAGCCACCACAGCCGCCGCAGACAGCGAGCCTGTCCACAGATAAAATGAATCTAGACCCACCAGCAGCTCCCAGCTCCTGAGCCGTGCATCACTGTCTCTCTTTGTAAAAATGCAAGGGATCTACCCGAATGCATTCTCGGTTTTTGCAGCCATTTAGATACTTCTATTGTTAGATGTGTGTGCAAACTTCATAGGGAAGCACAATATCCTGACTTTTCCATCGGACAGGAAGTGACCTCATAACCGGGATTGTGCAGCTGGAGTCATTGCTCTGCTGGCGCTTGTGGACCTGGTTGTTTTGATTACAAATCGAAAGTGTGTCCCAGTCCAAACTAGCTTCAGCGGAAACTCCTGAAGCCTCCACTTTTTCTAAGCCAATCAAGCTGAAATGAGGAGCTGAACAAGAGGAATAACGTGGTGAGCAGTGAGCCCTGTCAGCGTGCAGGTCAGAAGCGTTCGGGTCTTCTCGCCGTGCAGCAGAGCTCTGGGGGTGTGCTGCTCTTGCGAGGGTGCCGTGTCCCCACTGGGCACTAGCTCCCCATCGCCCTGGCCCCAGCCCCTGGCAGCACTTTCTGTCTTCTGTCTCTGCTCTTGACTGCTCTGCCCGCTTCCTGGGGCGGGGCCGCACGGCCTGTCCTTGTGTGACTGGCGTGTCTCGCGGTGTGTTTCGCCTCCTGTCCTCAAGTTCATCCGTGTTGTCACATGTACCGGGAAGGCCGGGACGTTGAAAACCGGTTCCACTGTACATAATCTCTGCCCAGGGCACAGGTGAGATGCCAGAAACATCTTCCAGAAGGATGGTGTTTGGTTATCGGGTGGAAAAGGTTTGTGCACAGTATGTAGGAGAGTTTTTCCAGTGCGTTTTGCAAAGGATGTTCACGCTGCCCCCACGCTTCCACCTAGGCCAGGGCGGCCTGAGGGGTGCAGAGCGGGCCAGCAGCCACGCTGGCGGGGAGCCCCACCCTTCCAGAGGCGCCATCTGTGCCCATGGCCCTGGAGAGCCTGGCTGTCCTGGGGCTGCAGCGCCTGCCCTGGAAAAGGCACTTCCGGGACACCAGGTGTTCCCTCTTCATAAAACCCTTCATTTCTGGGGACTCCGGGTGATTTGCAGAAAAGGAGCTAAACGCTTGAAGGCGAGTGTTGTCTGCCTTTCACGTGTGGCTGGCTTTGCTGGGCCCTCAGCGGGATCCGCCCTGTTTCTGTCTCTTCCCTTCTCTCTGAGCCCTGATCGCCAGCGGTTCAGCAACCCCTGCTCCCTCTTGTCTCTTGGCCTTTTTTCTGGCTTCAGCGGGGTGGAAAGCTCTCCGCACCCCACCCCAGATGTTTCTCTTTGTCCCCTTTCTTTCTATTGAGGTGCAAGTGAGAGCAGCAGCAACCAGCTGTTGCAGGTGTGCGGCGGGTGGTGCTGGCCAGCGGGAGAGAGTCGGGCAGCCTCCTGTGCCCACTTGGGACACATCCCATCACCCAAGAGAAGCCTTTGTCCCCGCCAAGCTCTGGCTGCTGCGCCCCCAACCCCAATCCGGGAAACCACCACTGGTGTTCTCTCTCCCTGGACGCCCCATTCTAGCTCTTTCCAGAACGTGGCATCGCCCCGCTCTGGCCTGTGGCGTCTGGCCTCCTTCCCTGAGCATGTTTTCAAGGGTCGTCCACATGGTGACGTGCGTCAGACTTTGTTCCCCTTTTATGACTGAGTAACACCCATGGTCTGTAAACACCACGTCTCCTTTAGCCCTCACCCTCCCGTGTGCCTCTGGGCTGCTCCCACCTTTTGGATGGTGTTCCTGGGGACATCTGCAAGCTTTGGGTCCGGTGCCTCTTTTGTTTTGTTTTGTTACAATGTTGAAAGGCAGCTTGTCTAGGAAAACTTGTGTTTCTAAGGACACATGGATGCATCCGGGCCTTTTCCACTAAGGAAAATGAAAAGAACACTTGGTCCGGCAGCTCCAAAAGACGTGAACGCAGACACGGGTGACTGATGGTCGCCCCGTCATCTGGGTTCTGCCCGTGGCTGCCGATGCCGTGAGAGAAGGCCTCAGCCGCCTTCAAGCAGACTCAGGGGTCTGCCATCTGAGAGACCCTGATGCCAGCCCTCTGGAACTTTGTGGAAGCATCCTGGACATGTTTGGAACGGAGCCTGCACCTTTCAGGAGGGAGCCAGTGCAGCGATCAGTTGCAGGGAGTTTCCTCGCTGGGCCTTGGGAGCCAGCCTGACCCCTAAACTTGGAACCTCACCAGATCTGCTGCACCTCCTCCCTTGGCCATTGTCTGGTCCTCATGCGCTGCGTGGAGATACCAGGGAGCAAGCACTTGAGTAGTTGGTGCTCCCTTCACAGGCAAACAAATGCGACTTTGTGTGAGATCACCGTGTTTTGTTTTGTTTTTTCTTTGTAATGATCTCCCTCATCCCAGTGATGGTAATTTTATGCACTAGCCACACTGATGAAGAGGTGCCACCCACAGGATACATTCCTAGGGCATGTATGTCAACAGGCGACTGCAGGACTTCTCTTTGCCTGTACTGTACTGTGCCTTAGGTGAGATGGGGAGATAACAGATATCAAAAGTAAAGTACCTCTTGGGCCTCCCTGGTGGCACAAGGGGTTAAACACAGCCCTGTGAAGCTATCCGCAGCCACTGCAGCAGGAGTTCGAGCCCCGGCCAAGGAAGTGACCCACGTGGTGCAGCAGACCTCCCCTGTCTCGCCCACTGCTCCCCTCAGCAGTCTGTCTCAGTAGATCTGCCTGTTCTGCTCCCCACTCTGTCTCTGGTGAATCCTTTCAACCCCCCACCTCTTGCCTGTACCCCATTCTTGCATGCATAAATAAATAAATCTTTAGAATAAAAAAGTAAAGTACTTCTTTAGGATCTAGAACTTATTCATAACTGATGTAATTTTATCCGTCAGCAATTTAAGCTGGATTTCTAGTATAACAGTCACAATAGAGTAAAGACCATTAACTCTGTGAAGATGAATGCACACAGATAATGGGAAGCAGCAGAAGACTCCAGAGTTTCGTGGCATATCTCCCCACCACACATTGCAGGTCAGGAAAGACCAAGGAGATGTTGGAAATAAGATTCTAGAGAAAGTAGTATTGCCCAGCCTGGGAAGTCCAAGTGTTCATAACTGCACAGAGAATTTGTGCTGACTTAGAAGTGATCCATGAAAAGCTGTCATTCCATTCCAGGTTTCTGCTTTGAGGAAAGCACACCCAATTCTAAGAAATTTTATTTCTTAAAAGCTACAGAACATGTCAGGTTCCGTGTCCCCAGTGTCCCATTCCCACTGCTCCCACCTCCCAACTGATACAACGTCCTTGCCGGGTGTTGCATTTTGCCTCCGGAAATAGCACCACGACCAGCTGTGGCTAAGAGAAAGCTGGTTTTCTGTTTCTGTTTTTGTTTTCTTGGAAAACAGCTGAGTTTTTTTTACCGGTAAGGCAGAGGACAACCTTGACAAAGTCTTAGTCGTCTTTTGAGTATATCTTTTTTCGTAGAAAATCAAGTAAAGTCATTCTTCATCTCCAGGACCTCAGGGGAAATGCACTTAGCTGCTTTGATTGCACTTTGAAAAACACCTAGGCTAATACAGGATCCCCCAATCCAATGGTGACTTTTAGAAGTTTTAACTCATTCGTAAGTTAACGACGTAAGTCCTTGCAAGAACCATCCATCTGAGAAAGGTACAACTAATGCTGAGGAGACAAGGCATGAGAAGCATAAGTAATTTGCCCTCGTCACCCAGCTATGAAGTATGAGCGCCCAGATTTGGATCGAAGCCCTGGGGCCTTTACCACACTGCCTTCTCTCACTGCCTCACAGATGGCAAGAGAGAGCCCTGTCCCCAGTGGACTCGCTATACTTTTGTAGTGACACCAAGACATGCATGAAATGATAGACAACGGTATGTCACTTAGCTGTGTGTTGGTGTTTAAGGAGAGCTGATAACTGACATTTCTGCTATAGTCTGGAAGCATTTGAAAGAGATTGATTCGGGAATGACACGGCTGGACATCAGTATATTCAACGACATAATTTAAATCTGAACCCATGGTCTTACCCACTAAATTGACGCTGCTTAGGACCTCCCTGGTGGCGCAACGGGTTAAGACGCAGCCTATGAAGCTATCGGCAGCCACTGCAGCACGAGTTCGATCCCTGGCCAGAGAGCTAGGTTTCCTAAGAGGCACCCTGGTATTGGGGAGATTCTTCCACTTGCTCATACACCGGGCTGGAAAACTACAGACCCTTCCCCTCTTACTGGGGAGAATTGAGGGGGCAATAGCAAGACCAATTTCTCAAATGAAGAGTTTCTTCACCCCTAGAGAATAGGCATCTTTGGCATTTGGTGAAGCCTATGCATCCTCACTCGGAATAACATTTTTTAAGTTCATAAAATAGGTGGCATTACAAAGGAAGACAATTACACTAAAATACAATCCTGAATATTAGTAAATTTATGATATGTATGTGCTTGCTCGCACATTAAATAATAAGATTTAGCCGTGGCTCTAATAACTGCCATGGTTTCCAAAAAGTGATGAGCATAAATGATATTTTGAGGTATTTGCAGCAAGTGAAATGTCATATGAAAAGTTTTGTGATTTCTGTTCAATACAGAGACATTCTACTACTACAGTGGTTTGTTACCTGTATTCATATTTATAGGAAATGTTACATATCAGTTAGAAAAAACAAAGATATGACAGGCTTCTTTTCTCATTAAGTTCATAGATTCCCTGAAAGTGCCCATGGACCCCAGGTTGAGACTATTTGCTGTAATGTAATGTATGTTTCCTCCCCTGGAAACAGGAGTAGGTAATAAGCATCACCTCCAACAGTATATGTTGGACGAGCAGGACGACCGGTGATCAAGTTTGTTGACAGTGTATGCAGTGGCCAGATTATTGAACAGTTATTACAGCAGCTTGGAAAGGAGTAACTTACAAGGCGTGCCTTATTTATTAATCTCGAAACCACCCTATTGGTGGTTAGTTGTTAACTCCATTTTCAACTGAGGAAACTGAGAGTTAATGTAACTTGTCAGAGGTCACATATCCAGCTAATGGAGCCAAGGTTCAAAATCTAGATAGCTTGGCTTAAGAACCCATGGTCTTACCCACTAAATTGAAGCTGCTTAGGACCTCGCTGGTGGCGCAAGGGGTTAAGACACAGCCTATGAAGCTATCCGCAGCCACTGCAGCACAAGTTCGATCCCCGGCCAGCCAGGGAGCTACCCACATGGTGCAGCAGACCTCTCCTGTCTTGCCCGCTGCTCCCCTCAGCAGTGTATTGCAGTAGCTCTGCCTTTTCTGTTCCCCACTCTGTCTCTGATGGATCCTTTCACCCCCACCACCCCCCCCACGCCTCTGGCCCAGTTCTTATATGCATAAATAAATCTTTTTTTAAAAAAAAAGATGTGGTTATACACACAATGGAATACTACCCAGCTATTTAAAAAAAAAAAAAGCAAAATCTTTCCATCGTGACAACATGGATGGACCTTAAGGCGATTATATTGAGCACAGTAAGTCACAAAGTGAGACAGTTATCAGATGGTTTCGCGCATATGCATTATAAATAAACAAAGCAATTTAACTAACAAAACACAACAAAAATAACTTTGACTCTGAGAAAATTATGTGGTTACCAGAGAGGAAAGGGAATGGGGTTGGGGGAAACAGGTAGGGGAACCAATTTGGTGGTGGTGACTGGCACTAGAACTTAAGTGGCGGATACGGCATAGGGCACACACATACCAAGGTGTGAACTTACACAGTATCGTAAACCAAAAGTAAATCAATGAAATGATTAAATAAAAAGGTAAGAGACTCAATTACATCATAGGGGTGACCCTCTGTCCCTGTTTGCCTAGAACTGAAGGAGTTCCAGGGGCGTGGACATTCAGTGTTGCAACCAGGACAGTTGTGAGCAAACCTGGATAAGTGGGTCACCTCCGCATGCACCACTCCTCACACACATACAAATCTCCTGCAGGGAGATGCTATGATTTCAAACTTAATACATGAGATGAATTAAAGGAGAGGGTGACTAGTATTGTAGCCAGAGGTAGTAATCTGGGTGAAAGGGAAGATTAATATCTCAAAGATTAATAACCTTTGCAAAAATACAATAATATTTGCAAAAAGACTAATAGATGGACATATAAAGAAAAAGATAAGAGGCTTGGAGGATAAATCTAGGAGACATAAAAGTTGGAGATCAAGAAGGATTTCTGGATGGAGAAAAAGCATCATGAAGCCGGTAATAAATGAGTAAGTTGGAATGGGAGGCTAAGAAATGATGTAAGAATTAGATAAAATAAAATAAAATATAAAAAAGAAAAAGAAAAATAGGCATCATAATAATAGTACCTAATTCATGAGTTGCAATAAAAATTACATGGGCCTATTTCAATACAATGGAAAAGGAACAGATGACTAACTGCTGATAAAGTACAAGAAAGAGAATTGTGAATAGAGATTAATGAAATACAAAAATATTTGAATAAGTAGGTACGTAAGGATAAAGAGTTTGTTTGTTTTCTTTTTTTTTTTTTTTTTTTATAGAGGCATGTTTTTTTTATTTATTTGTTTGTTTGTTTGTTTATACATGCACTGGGTACAGTCAGAAGCGTGGGAGGGTGAGAGAATCCACCAGAGCCAGAGCGGGGAGCAGAGCAGGCAGAAGGACCGAAGTACACTGCTGAGGGGAGCAGCGGGCGGCAGGAGAGGTCTGCGCGCCATGTGGGACCCTCCTCTGGTGGCTGGGGAGCAGCCGGGGATCGAACCGGCGCCGCAGAAGCCGCAGGCAGCTTCGCAACCCAGCGCTCAACCGCTGCGCCACCGGGGAGGCCCTTGTTTGTTTTCTTAATAGGACTAATACAAGTGACCAGTCCTTTAATAGAGCAATATGAAAAAAAGAGACTATGTAACTGTATTTTTTCTTATTACTTAATTATGAAATTAAGTGATATGTAAACTGAAGAGAACTGAATGTCTGGAACATTAAGACACATGAATATATGTAAACTTGGTTTATGACAGAGAAGATAATAGAAGATATTGGGGAAATTATGGACTAGTCAGAAATTACCATTTGGGAAAAAATAAAATGTTTAATGTGTTCCAAAAAATAAATAAAAATAAAAAGCTTTTAAAAAAAAGAGTGGAAGAAGAACAGAAAAGTGAGCAATGGTAATTTCTGGACATTTCACCCAATATACAGGTAGAGGTGACCACCCCAGCAACAGTGGTTGGACAGACTTTCCACCCAGGGCCAGTTCCAGGGTCAGAGAGGACAGATCCTGGGGGCAAACACTCCCTCCCCCACCCAGGCAAGCTGTGGGAGACATGGGTCTTTTCACACAGGCCTTGATTCCCCTGCATCTGCAATTTGTAACAGATTGTCATTGAGATGCACAGCACAGAATTAAGTTCTTTTATTTAAATGGGAGTTTTGTAGGCTTGGAGTGTTGTTAAAAAAGGAGCAGCTGCCCGATGTATGGGTGACATTGTGGAATGTACCCGTGTGTAGATATAAAAGGCGGGTGCCCATTATTTCCCATGCAAAAGTCATTTAACTTCCTGAGATTTAAAAAGTCAACCCATATTAAGCCGATGTAAAGCTTCTGACCAGTAAAAATCCTCTATTGACTAATAGGAATCAATACTTAGTGTCAAGTTTTAGCAATAAGTTTAGAGAATTTTTTCTAATGTCCTTACGAAATACAGCTGTTTGATATTGGCAAATGCAGGTCACATTCCATCCCTGTGCCATACTCTGTGCAGAGCTTTCATTTTCTCAATCCCATCACTCTCTGACAATACATTTTTGAAAAAAAATTCACATCCACTTTTTTTCTGGAATAGGCAGTAAATTATGAAAGAAAAACAATGTACTACATAAAACATAGATCTCATCAGGATGCCACATACCTTTGATTTCCACCTGTTTCTATTCTCCAAGACGTTGCTTACCTTTTAAATGTGTAGGGAACAGGGGCAAGAGGGGGAAATGCAGCTGGCCTGAGAGGAAGAGGACCAGGGAAGCGAAAGAGCAGCTGCTGTCCAAACAGCTCATCCTCTGGTGGGGGCACTGGGGCAATGTTGGCCAAGGATACAAATTGGAGTTCGTTCCATGACTTGGAAATTGTGGGCAGTGTTGTTATGGACATAGGAGTGTATGAGTCTTCTCATATCGAATTTTCATATATTTTGCGTCAATACAAGAAATGGTGGACTATATACTCGATGGAATAGTATACGGCTATTTAAAAAGATGAAGTAGTGTCTTTTGGGATAAAATGGATGGTCCTTGAGATGATGATGCTAAGTAAAAAAGCCAGAAAGTGAAAGACAGATATGGGATGATGTCACTTATATGTGGAATATAAATAATAAGCAACACACAGTGGCAAAATACAGCAAAAACAAATCTTGGACTTAGTGAATAAAATTAATGGTTACCAGAGGGAATGGGGGAGGGGGCGGAGGGAGGGAGGAGGGGACAGAGAAGGAAGAGCATAAGACATTGGCGTGGATAGTCTGGTGGAAAGTGAGTGGAACGTGTGCACATATAGAGAAATAAAAATGTAACCCCAGAATTATAATTTTAAAAAGGGTGCAAACTAGCAGCTAGAAGATGAATACATTCTAGACATCTAATGCACAGCATAGTGATTACAGTCAACAACACTGGATTATAGACTTCAAAATTGCTAAGAGACTAGATCATAAATGTTCTTCCCCCACCACACACACCAAATGATAATTATATGACTTGATAGAGATACTAGCTAAAGCTACAGTGGTAATCATACTGCCATAAAGAAATGTATCAAATCAATACACAGTACACCTTCAATTTACACAAAGCTGTATGTCAGTCATATCTCAATTTAAAAAATAAATTTAATACTTACCTGGCAGGGGAGACCCCATGATCAGAAGGGTGGTTTTCCCAGCATGAGGCTTATCCATCACTCGGATGTGCTGGCTCCTGTGATTTCCAAATGGAGGAATCTCCACTCCCTAAACTGTGGTAGTGGGGGGCTGTGTTCGCACTCACTTCCTAATATGAAATAAATATATTTTTAAAAATTTCACTGTGTAGAACATTTGAAAATGGCTAACAATGTCCATGCAGGAATTTCATTAAAAATGAATGAATGCAGGGCCTCCCTGGCGGCCCAAGGGGTTAAACACCACACTGTGAAGCTGTCCGCAGCCACTGCAACATGAGTTCCATCCCCAGCCGGCCAGGAAGCAACCCACATGGCGCAGCAGACCTCTCCTGTCTCGCCCGCTGCTCCCCTTGGCAGTGTATTTCAGTCAGTCTGCCTGTTCTGTTCCCCGCTCTGTCTCTGGTGAATCCTCTTACCCCCCCACATCTCTGGCCTGTACCCCAGCTCTTGTATGCATAAATAAATAAATCTTTAAAAAAATGAATGAATGCAACTGAAATCTAGAGACATACTACCCAAAGCATGGTACCAAGTCTGTAAGGATGCAACTCTTGGGCCTCCCCTGGTGGCGCAGCGGTTGAGCGCTGGGTTGCGAAGCTGACTGCAGCCTCCGCAGCACTGGTTTGATCCCCGGCCAGCCGCACCAGAGAGGGTCCCACATGGTATGCAGACCTCTCCTGCCACGCCCACTGCTCCCCTCAGCAGTGTACTTTGTCGGGGTCTGCCTGTTCTGCTCCCCGCTCTGGCTCTGGTGAATTCTCTCACCTTCCCGCGCTTCTGACTGTACCCAGTGCTCGTATAAATAAATAAATAAATCTTTAAAAAAAAAATGCAACTCTCCCTCCCCCCCACCCCCGTAGTGTGTCTTATACAAAATAAAATTTGAAAAAAATGCTCAAAAAAAGCATCTAAACAAATATTAAAAAAAATGTTTAATTTTATGTTATGTCAGTTTCACCCCAGTTTAAAAATAAAAAATGAGAATGAGAGGAAAAAAAAAATGCAATTCTCAGGCTCCATCTCAGACCAACTGAATGAGGATCTAATTTTGCCAAGATCCCCAATAAAGTGTGCAGAGTGTTGCTGTGGAAAATCATCTGGCAAGGTAATACAGAATGCACAGTCCTTGGTTTGCTATAGTGGCGTGCAGCCAGACCTTTGTATTTTTTACCAAATTTCTCAGGTGAACAACATGAGCTAAAATTGCAGCACCACTGCCCCAGAGCGCCACTCTTCAATACGGTAGCCAGGGGCCTCCCTGGTGGTGCAGGGGTTAAAGACAGCGCTATCAAGCTATGGCCAGCCACTGCAGCATGAGTTCGATCCCTGGCCAGGGAGTCACCCACATGGTGCAGCAGACTTCTCTTGTCTTGCCTGCTGCTCCCCTCAGCAGTGTATTTCAGTAGATCTGCCTGTTCTGCTCCCCACTCTCTCTGGTGAATCCTCTCACCCTCCACACCTTTGACTTACACCCCAGTTCTTGTATGCATAAATAAATCCTTTAAAAAAAAAAATATGGTAGCCAGAAGCCACATGGGCCTATTTACATTGAAATGACTTAAAATTGAATAAAATAAAATTTTCTGTCCAACTAGTCACATTTCGGTGCTCAAGAGCCACATGTCACTGACTAGCAGCTATTCTATGGGGCAGTAAAAGTCTAGTCCTTTACCAGTGACAAACCAAGCCCCTTCTTTGTCTTCCCATCTCACAAATACAAGTGGAGTACCCAGCTATCATATGGCATCTGCCCCTTGACATCATGGAATTCAGAATTTGCTCCCCACTCCTTAAACCCTCCTTAGAATCCCTCAACACCTCCCTAAACTCTGTAAACCCCCCACCCCTCATTCCCTCTGACTGAGATGCCCCACAGTCCCCTGGGGTGAGTTCTTACCAGATGCAGGAGCTAAGGGAAGCTAGTTTGGTTTTGAATACAGGTGCACTCCTGGTGGCCTTCTGTTGGTTGAGAAGCTAAGGAAAAGAAAACAAATGTCACCATTTTCAGATGTCTGCTGTTTCTTTTCTCTCTTTTTGTCTTTGTTAGATGCAATCGATCTGTTAGTGACTGCTTTTGCACACATGCAAAGTAATGTGCCAACAGCTTCCTATATGTGTCTCTAAGTCAGCATGGACTGGGGTAGACTTTTACTAAAATGTGCCAGTTACTGACCAGATCTCTGTTGTGGCTCCTTAAATTCAGTATCTTACGTCTCTCTTTTAAAAAGGACCCTCCACTATTTTTTCCAGCCTGAGTTCCAACTTTGCAATAGGTTGCTTAACTCTCCTCTGCAGCCCACCAGGAAACAAAAATCCCCAATCCTCCACCCCCTCCAAAAACAACTCCAGAAAAGCCTCCCACTTTGTTAGGCAAAACAGTTTATCTAACTCAGCCTCTGCTCCAACACTCTGCACCTTTGCAGATCTAAAGACTCATTCATGAAAGTGACCTAAGAATCCAATAATAGGAAATGTTAAGTACAGTGCATCAACCAAGTGGACCGCAGTGCAGCTGTTAAAGAGGCAATTAAGGCAACCTAGAAACAAGGGAAATTGTTTATGAAACAATTGTTGATGAAAATTAAATGCAATACCCCAAAAAAGGTGAACAGCATGATTGCAACTAGGTAGCAATCATCTCTGTAGTTCCGGCCTTTAACTGGGTACCCAGGAGGGATTTATACCAGGTCTGACTTGAAAGATATGAGTGGGAGGCCCATCAGGCTCTATCAGCATGAGGGAGAGAGAAACCTGATGGAAAAGACCAGAGCTTGGGACTAGAGTGAGGTGAACAACCACCTGCACAGATTATTTTAATGGAGTGCCCAACAAACAAGCTTTAGTAATCAATGATTGTTAGTGCACTATAATGCAGTATTTTTAAAAATCAAAATGATGGCCCAAAAATTCATCATGGGGCCTCACTGGTGGCGCAGGGGGTTAGGACGCAACCTATGAGGCTGTCTGCAGCTGCTGCAGCACGAGTTCAATCCCTGCCCAGGGAGCTACCCACATGGTGCAGCAGACCTCTCCTGACTTGCCCGCTGCTCCCCTCAACAGTGTGTTTCAGTCAATCTGCCTGTTCTGCTCCCCACTCTGTCTCTAGTAGATCCTCTCAGCCCCCGCACCTCTGGCCTGTGTCCCAGTTCTTGTATGCATAAATGAATAAATCTTTAAAAAAAATTCATAATGAACAAATGAAGATCCGATCCTGCACCTGTGTAACCTGGAGAGAGGGCCCCACTTGCCTCGGCCTAGTCCCAGGCCCCGGTAAGGACAATGAGTAGCTTTGCAGGCCTACCAGCTCTCCCCCACCTCTAGGGCTGAGCCCCATTGAGAATAAAGGCCTCGCCTTATGAGTCCCAAAAGGAGGGAAGAGTCCCAGGTGCACATACTTGGTTAGGGAATGGTTGATTAGAGGATGTATAAGTTCAATGTCAAGTAGACCTTCCAGGGGCTTGAACGGGGACTAGGAGATAATAGCTAATAAAACTGCTCTGCCTCGCAAGACTCCATAAAATGCTAGTTCATGAAAGTAACCTCACTGGGTGACTCTGGGAGAGTCTTAGAGTGTGACATGGAGACATGTCTGTGAGTGAGAAGCAGTGAAGGACATCACTATAGCAACCTAGGTCCTCTGGCGACCGCTCTCATTGTAGGAGCAAAGGCTGAAGGAGGCACATTATGTTTTTGCACAAATATATGTGGAACAAGCCGGTCCCCCTAAGGAGTTGGAAGACAGGCATTTGGAAATGATACTCCAGAATATTCTGCAGGTTGAGGGTGGGGGCTGATAGATGACCATGTCGGAGAAATGGCATAATGGTTGTGTGAAATCTTTAAAAGTTTTTTTTAGTGTTTTTATGTGATCTTTTCAATTAATAAGAGGAAAAGTGAAGAGAGGGTCACATCCATGGAGTCAGCTCCACGGACCTGGGCACCGTTACATGGAGTTCAGCAAACTTAAATGACAGTATCTCATATGAGTATGTGAACACGAAGTATGTGAGGCTTCATTGAGATCAAGATCTTAGTATTCCAAATGGTATTCTTACTTGGAGATTCAAGGTCAAGTTTCTTTGAAGATAAAGAGGCTGTGGGATGAGGCTTAAATAAATGTTCTGTATTAAAATTTAAACTGGGCCTCCCTGGTGGCACATCGGGTTGAGCACAGCGCTGTGAAGCTGCCTGAAGCCTCTGCAGCGCCGGTTCGATTCCTGGCCAGCCAGGGAGATACCCACATGACGTGGCAGACCTCTCCTGTCACACCTGCTATTCCCCTCAGCAGTGTATAAAATAAGATGATGATAATAATAATAATAAAATTTAAACCAAACAGTACACCGGTACGTGGGTAAAAGATGATGTCCAATCAAATCTAAATAATAATTTGTCAACAAATGCCAAATGACAAATTGCCAAATGTCAATTTTGTTTCCACCATGTAAGGATGCAATTGAAATTTCCAATAAAAAGGAACACGACTCAGAAAAATAAAGCAGACAAGTAAAGAAACAAACAAAAAAGACTATGGCCAATGATTTTAATCAGTAGCCAAGACTGAGAACCAATAAGACGAGTTGTCCAAGAGAACTTTCTATTATTCATGGTTGTTCACGGATAAAGCGGGGGATGCTGGACATCTGCCTGCAGGTGTCTGGGACAGGGCTATTTCTGCAGTGTATCTGCCAGTGTCCTTTGACAGAGGCTGTGTTCAGTTATGCCCTTGCCGTCAGACAGTTTTTCTGATGCAAATGCTGGGTCTTAGCTTCAGTTCTTTCCAAATGTAGACCCCAAGATGATGGCCGATGTACAAGTAATTTAGTGTGGAAAAGTCTCCCTCTCGGCAAGAATGGCTCAACCACACAGGCCGCCCCCCTGCAGGCCTGTGAAAGATCCATCTCAGAATGGCCCCCCGAGACAAGGAAGAAGGGAGTCTTTATCCATTCTCATGGGTCCCTCTGAGCCCCTCATCTTTCCTGGCATGTGGATTTGCCAGAATGGCTGAGCAACCCCCAGAGGTGTCCCCTGCCTGGCAGATGTCAAGCATTTTTCTCCATGTGCGAGACATGAAGGGATACATGGGGGGAGAAAAGGTTCCAGTGTTCT